CTAGTTTAGAACTTTCTGTTTATGGGTTACTTTTTTGGCATTAAAATTTTAAGAAGTGGGGTAAGGAGGATTATGTCCAAACAATATGATTTGATAATCATTGATTCACTAGAAAATAGGATACTTAAGAGCAGGTATCTAATTCATCTTTGTAGTTTTTCAGCTTTAAAGAAAGTGTGCAAAAAAAAAAAGACACATAATAGGGACTTAATATATGTTTGCTAAATAAGCAAATGTATTGCTGGGAAAAGAGACTTAAGACCATGTTTTACTGAGTACATCAAATCTTAAATAAAGCATGCCATCGCTACCATCTGATTGGAAAATATTAATGCAGCAGAAATTCAGCAGACTCAATGGCCATAACAAGCTAAACACTTCAAATTATTAAACTCCCCTAATATCTGATGCTCTGGCAATGAAACTTGAAAATAGTAGTTCTATTTATGATTTATTTAATTCAATAAAATATATAAAAATTAATTTTACTCTCATAATTATTAGTTATCAAAATAATTTAAGAAAAAAAACATATCTCAAATATAACATCATCTTTTTCTTCTCTCTCTCTCTCTTTTTTTTTTGATGTCCAAGGGGAAGGATGAATTAGAAAAATTTTCTTTTAATTATCTACAAAAGGTCAGGTCTGAAACATCTACTTGAGGTCACAATTTAAATTTACACTATCACCTTAACTGATAGCACTTTCACCTTAATTCCCAAATTGTCTTGTTTAGTATCCATTGAGGGTCCTCAGCACACAAAAGAAATGTGTCAGAGGACTTGCAATCAGTCTAGCATTCTCTCTTATTTTCCAAAAGTGGTAAGTTTGTGTTGAGCCAGCCCCAGTCTGAGCCCTTGCTATTTGGCGGATGGGAGGTTTGTGTACTAGGCCTAAGGTTGTATTCTATAATGAGGCTCAAACCCAGGATTCCAACTTCATTAGCCTTTAATTCTAATCAGCGGTCAATCGAGACCAAGATTCTTCTGAGTGTGTGCCACAAATTCACTGCTAGGCACGAAGGAAAACAGAATTACACTGATAGGTTTTTAGAATTACAACCAACCGCATTTTATTGCAGAGGCAGATATTTTAGAACCTTAAAAAAAACAAACTCCCTAGCAATATAGACCCAATTGTATAATGCTGGAGCTACCTAGGGTGACAAACTTTAAATAAATGGAAACATTTCATTTTGGTACATCAGCTAGTTTTCTCTTGGGAGCCTGATGATCTTATTCTTTCCATTAGAAACTGTAGAAATGACTAGTTCCTTACCAATCATTACAGTCATAAGGTAAACACCATCAGAAACACTGTCATCTTTGAATACAAAAACAACGGCTGTCCTGAGTGTCACAGTAATCATGCCAATCAAAATATCTATTAAACAAAGTTTTAATATGGCCCTGGACTGGGCACTGTATAACATAAGAGAGAAATGATCAACACCTTCTGGTGGCTTATGATCTTAGAGTTATTTGGAGACCTACAAATAATCAATATTGAGAATTAAAAAAAATATTTCTAAGTCTTTTAAAACACTCATCTTTGATGTCCCCATTTCTCGAAACATGAAGCATTTCTAAAAATAATAGCACATCTTCCCTAGACTACTATTGATTTTTTAAATGTTTTGAAATGACATATAATAGCAATATATTTTTAGCTGTTTTGTTTCTGAAAAACATTATATTCATCCTTGTTTCACAGCATCCCTGTGACAAGGATATTTAATGTACTCTGTAATAATATGATAGTCGGTATTTATTGAGTACTGAGTACGTGCCAACCACTATCATAATGAATCTGTGCAACAATCCATGATGTGAATGTATTTTATGGATGAGTAACCAAAAGAGAGGTCAAGTGAATAGAAAGGTTTTAAAAATGGGTTTTATGATGATTGCACAATTTTTTTAATTTAGTAAAAAAAAAAAAAGAATCACTGTACACTTAAAATGGGTAAATTTTATGGTACATAAATTATATCTCAATAAAGCTGTTTAAAAATATATACACACCAGAGAGAGAAAATGAGGGACGGTGAGGCATCAAGTGACGTGCTTAATAACATCTAGGAAATAAATGGCAGAACCAGAACTCAAGAACAGCTGCTCTAACTCTGAGCCCACGCTACACTCCCCTGCAGGGAAAATAAACTCAGGTCAGGAGCACGTACGGAAATGAAGACTCCTCAAGGGAAGTGAAGGCTCAGACTTCACTGAACTATATACATGCTTCTTCTTAGAGGTTCATTTCTTCATGCCTGTATAATTCTTTTTTTATTTTTTATTTTATTGAGGAACAGCCATGGTCATTGGTTACACATTGCTTTCATGCTACAATGGCATTGTTGACTCTTTTAGGGAGGGCACAGCTCACAGTGGCCCATGTGGGGATCGAACTGGCAACCTTGATGTTATCAGCACCACACTTTAACCAACTGAGCTAACTCGTCGCCCCCTGTATAATTCTTTAATTCCACATCCTGGGTACACATTGTTACATGAATTTGTGAAATCATTTTTTTTTATGATTTCACATTTTCATATCAATTAAATATATAATAATAATATATGGAAGTGTATCTTTAAAAAATAAACAAGTTGTCATTATGAACACTTATTATGTTCATAATGTGGAAAATTATTTTTTTCCTTTCCTTTAGAGTACATTGTTTAGCATTTATTATTTCTCTAAAGTAACTCAGGACTACAGTTTTGAGTTCACTAATTTTCTTTCATTTTACCATCTCATCCATCATGTCATAAACAAACAAGTCTAAATACTAAAGGCTACCACCACACTTTCTTCTTTCAATTTCTTCTTTCTCTTAACTGCTGAGATTGTCCATATTCTGAGCTGGCCAATAAATTCTGTATGATAGCCCAAATGGATATCAGTGCTGTCAACTACATCCATGCTGAGCCCCAAAGAGATTACTCACTTCCCCATAAAAACTAAACTTGCTTTTATTTCCACAATAATGTCCTGAGTTCAAGAAGCAATCTCATTCCCTAACCTAACATGGAATGTTAACATTATCATTATTTCATCGACATGAATCAAGACACCTTGATGATAATACTAGCTCTCGGTACAAGTGCTAAGGGAAGAGTACGAAGCACTTAGGTCCTTCTGTCTTAACGTCTTTGATCTTGGTAGAATCCAGATTACAAAAGGAACTATTACAACTTCCGTTTTTCCTTCTCTAAGCCAAGTATCACATAGTACACTGAAATCAATATATAAAAGTGATTTATTTTTATAGCTGTCATTTATTGGTGTATTATGGCCCAGGCACTATAACAAGATAACTTACATATATTATTGCTCATCATTATAACATCCCTGCAAAATATTCCCCATTTGACAATAGCTAAGGGCCTTAAAACTTGGAGAGTTAAATATCTTTCAGATTATACAGCTAAAAAAGTGGCAAGATGAGATTATCTGCCAGATTCCAAAACTCATGTTCTTTTCACTATAACCCAAACCATCTTCCTTGTCTCTCTACCACCTTTTAAGACTATCCTATTTTAAGATCAGTATGCAAACTTGTTGAAAGCAGAGCTATCATGCTCTGGGTTAAAAGTCATCTGCTAAAATTAGAAAAGCTCATACGAGTGTATGACTCTCAACTAAAATATACTCATGTAGAATTATTCTAGTTAAAACCAAAAACTCAGCTCCCTCAAGCAATTACTTCCGGTTTTCAAAAATGTTGTTTTTATGTGATAATTTAAAGTTGAAAAAATCAAAAGGACTGCTTACTTGTCATTCTTTTTCTTCTTTCAGAATCTGAATCATTCATGTTACTAAAAATGAATAAAACAAAGGACAAAATCAACTACTGTCTCCCAAATCATATCTTCTTTTCAAAAGGATGGGAATTATTTCACAAGACAAATATTGAGAAAACAACATTTAAAAATCACATTGAATCAGTATCTGATAGGAAGACAGAAAATATTGAATTGATTAAACAATATGTAAAATATTACTTTGTTTAGTTATTTTAGATAATACCAAAACTTCTTTTGTTTTCAACAATTAAAAAAGTCTAAATTGACTGATACCTTTCCTTATCTTAAACATAGTTTTCTGAAAATAATTTAACTTTTTCTTAATTACTGAGGGTCATCTTTATAAATAGTCCTCAGTGGCCATTAAACTGTGAAGGACTATTTGTTCCTGTACGTCCTTTGGTTTTCTTGTCTCTCCCTTCAGCTGCCACTACCTACAACCTCTTTACTCTTCCATGTCTGTTGCTTATAATTCATTTTGAGTTTTGAAGCAAAATAACTCCTTACAGTTGTATAAGATGTGCCAATTGTTAGGTCTCTGAATGTTAGAGACCTTGACTTAATGTTAGATCTCTGAATGTTAGGTCTCAGAGACCTTGACTTACAGAGTCATGTTTACAAGAAAACAACAAAATGCCTGTTGGCCTGCACCTGCAGACAGAACCCAGCTTTTGATAACAGAAAATGCCACCAAACAGCTACTGGCATACAGGCAGTCAACATTTTCTGTTCAAACACTGCTACCCTGTCATCACCGCCCGTATATAACTACCTCCTCGCCCCCTCCCTCGGGGCTGCAAGTCTCCTTTAGACGTGTAGCCTGGGCTGTAGCCATCTTTGCTCAGCCCAACAGACTCTCTCTTAATAAAATAGACTTTCTTAAGCTTTCTTAACTTGCCTGACCATGCGCGTTCCTTTACTGGCCAAACTACTACCAATAAGTAGACATTGGATGAAAGCCTGAGGTGCTCTCCTCTAGGGCTTGGGAAGCTTGGGGAACCTGTGTTCTTAGAGAGCTGAGGTGAACAGATGAATATTCTCTGCATGGCTGAGGTATCACTACAGATGCCTCCACCAGCGCAAATACCCAGGAGTCAAAAGGAAATGATGAAAAATGGAAGAGCGGAATCTGGTGGACGGACTATGCTAAAGAAATACATAACATGCTTTTGTGTAAATCAGTATACTTTACCTCTTCAGTCTCAAAAGGTACTGCGATACCCAGGCAGGAAATAGTTGGTGCTTTGAAATCGTCTTGAGTGCCCAGAATTGCTCAATGAAAATACAGTAATAGACTGCTTATTAATATTTATTTAACTCCATGTTCCTTTACATTATATTCTTTATTAATAACTTACAATATCCAGATTTTTTAAAAATATACTATTTCAAGTAGAAGCAGTACTAAACTTAAGAAATCAATTAACTTAGCCAATTGCTTGATTCATCTCATAGTTTACTATTCAGCAGTTTTCTCTTTGTTTCTCCCTCACTGCTTGATTTAATGACTCTTTGTTCCCTTTCTCAAGGCTACACATACTTCACTAATCTAGTTAAGCACTAACTGAAAAAAAGTAATTCCTTAGTCCTCACGTTTCCAAGCACCCGAATTAATTTTTCAATTTCTTTGCAGTTTCTTACTGAAGAAGCATAAAGCGCCAGGCTGCAGTCAGTGGCCGAGTCCTGAGATAATATTATCTTGAAACAGATCAGACTCCCTGAAGCGAGGTCAGCCCTGCGACCCGCCTGACTGACTCCCCTTCTCTTTGTTCTCCCAACCTGAATGCTTATAAAATCCCTTAACTATCCTCAGCTCGGGGAAGGTGGCGTTTGTCAGGATAGCAGTCCACCAGCTTCCCAGGCTGCTGGCATCCACAGTAAAGAAAACACCTTTTCTCCTCACCAACAGCTGCCTCTTGAGCACGGAACCTGGGTTCGGGAACACTAAAAAGAAATAGTACTTTCCTTTTCTTTATATAACATTCAACTCAAATTCTAATTCATGGACATCCATGTAATGGCATGATTTAAGAGAAATAAAAAATGCACAAAGTTCTTATCAATAGAGATTACATACATGTGAAGCCTTCCTTTAAATATGGAACTCCCTTAATGTATAATTTACTTTTAAAAACTTAATTTGCAATTGCATTTTATTTAGTCATCTATTAATTCATTTAACAAATACCCATGCAGCGTGGAACTGTGTTAGGTGGGAAGGATATAAAAATTAATAAGACATGGTCCTTGCATTTAAGAAGGAAAATGTGTAAACAAATAATTCAATATAAAATATATTTTAAAAGTGTTATAGAAATGTTATAGAAATATATATAAAAGGCTAAGACAAAGGATAAGCAATTAGTCAGGGGGCTGAAAAGGTTTCATATTCAAAAAACAAAGAAATTAACTATTACATTTTTAATGAAATGATTAAAAGTGTAATGATCTCACTTAAATTTCCCAGTTCTTAGTAATTTAAATATTGATACCTGTCAAGAACTTCAAGTCACTTTAACATTACTTTGTCTCAGTTTTCCATACATTAAATGATAATTAATGACTATCACTAATTAAATGATAATTAGTTCTGATAGATGAATCACTTATAATTTAGGTTAACATTTTTCTGTATTTCCTAGTGAATAGGTAGACATTTTTTTATTCAAATCACTCCTAAAAATATAATTTAAGGCTACCCATGCCTGTAAGAACAATAATTTTTCTTATAATTGATACTAATTATTTTCTTATTGTTAATATTAACATCCATACCTAACTTTACAATAACACATACTATGCTTCTTTTTCAAAGAACGCTAGTTGAACTCTCATTTCCTACACTGACAACTATTTTTGTTTGAAAGTAGTTGCAAATAAGTGGTAAAAGCTGAAGCCTCTTGGTAGTATAGTTTCAATCATGGCACCCCTTCTTTCAAACCCCATGTGGACTCTCTTTACTGGAAATCACACTGAAAAAGCAGAGGTCTGAAATCACTACTGATAGCTAACAATTACTGAGCACCTATGAGGTAGGTATTACTATTAACCCTATCTTTGAGATTAACCCTATCTTTGAGATGAAGCAAGTGAGGGTTAAAGAAATTGAGTACCCTGTGCAGGATCACACGGCCTGGCAAAGGGGACCACCAGATTTGAAGCACCCAATCTGTCCCCAGGGCCTGCTCTCTTCAGTCACCATAGTACATGTCCTCCTAAACATAGTAAAAATGATGGAAAAATCCATTTTTTTTGCTTCAGCTTCACTATGTGTGAAAAGAAGGACTGATCTTTAGTGAAACATGAGCTTCAAATATCAAAGATGTAAGAATTATTAACAAAGGAAAAATTGGCAGACCCAGCATAATGAAAAGGGCACTGGACAGCAGGAAATTTTGGTTCTAGTTCTGATTTTGTAAAGAACTACTGTGTGAATTCAGCAATCATTTAACCTCTCTTGGCCTTAATCTCCATATTATAAAATGAATTGATCTTTAAGGTTCTTTATCAATGGACAATTTTGTGATTCTAAGCCTGAAACTACTTTCACAACTGGATCAAGAATGTTAGGAGACTAAACCTTTAAAAAGACTATAATATTTTCATCGCAAGCATTTGTGTTTACCATTGCCTTTATCAGACATTTTTTCCTCTTAAAAAGATTTATCTTGCTGATAAAATTACAAAATGTTGAAGCCTATGGCAGTTTGGCAACATGTAAAAAACTACAAATGCATATATCCTTTAACAGAGAAATCCATTCTACAAAATGCCCTACAAATACATCTGTACACTTTAACAGCAGAAGTTTGGAAACAACTCAAGTCCACTGTAGGGATCTGGCTAAATAAAATATGGCACATTTACAAATGGGATGTTTTGTCGCTGTAAAAAGAATAAGGATTACTTCTATGCATTAATACAGAATGATCTTTGGGACATACTACTATTAAACAAGGTGCAAATATTACATAAAGTATGCAATCTTTTATGTTGTGGACCCTAAGAAGAAAGCTTCATTTGATATGAACCCCAAGATAGGCTCAACTTTTATAAATAATAAGAGCCTAGCAACCGTTTGCTGATAGGGATTCCTCACATACTCTGTATACTGGGAAGAACCTCAGACTGAACTCTTGGCTTCACACACTGTGCGCTGCTTGTTTACACCACCATCTGAGTCAACCACTGCAGGCAAGTGGACTGAGGCCTGCCCCATCCAATCAGAACTGCACAATTATGAGGTCTGACATTTAAGTTCGCAAGCCTGTTGCAACAATGTCGCTAACCTTTTTTGATATCAGAGAGATTATTAATTATGATATTTGTGTCAACTGGACAAAGAGTTAACCAAATTTACTATTTGGAAGTGCTGAAAAGACTACGTGAAAAAGTGAGATGACCTGAACTTTTCGCCAACAATTCATGGTCCTTGCATCATGACAATGCACCAGCTCACATGGCACTGTCTGTGAGGGAGATTTTAGCCAGGAAACAAATAACTATATTGGAACACCCTCCCTATTCACCTGATCTGGCCCCCAGTGACTTCTTTCTTTACCCGAAGATAAAGGAAATATTGAAAGGAAGACATTTTGACAACATTCAGGACATCAAGAGTAATACAACAGCTCTGATGGCCATTCCAGAAAAAGAGTTCCAAAACTGCTTTGAAGGGTGGACTAGGCACTGGTGTCGGTGCATAGCTTCCCAAGGGGAGTACTTCCAGGGTGACCGTAGTGATATTCAGCAATGAGGTATGTAGCACTTTTTCTAGGATGAGTTCAGGAACTTAAGTGTCAGACCTCAAGTATCTTCATTTGCATCTATACAGACCCATCAGAACTGCTCTACAATGACCAGTTAGAATGCATGATTTGGATCAATCAAAGCTGTAGGAATTCAGAAACCTCATTTGCACAACTGGATGGAAACTTTCTGTACAAAAGGCAGGCCTCCCCTTTGTCTCAGTGGAGCACACTTTTGGTTTCCACCAGAGGCTGCATTTCCACGGTTTGCAAACTGTTTCACCTGAATGAAGTCTCTCCTTTACCACATCTCTTTGGGAATTTTGGTTGACAATGTTGTGGGGGACAGGGGGGAAGATACTTGGATTTGCATCAAGAAATGCTGGAAGGGCACATAAGAAATTAATAAAAACAGCCTCCTCCAGGAATGGAAGAGTGGAATACAATGGATGGGGACAAGGGTTTTTACCCATATTTAAACATTTAAAAAGTTGGGCCCAGTATGGGATTGCCTGTGTTACTGATGAAAGAACTGAGTCTCAGAGAAATTAAATCATGTGCTCAAGTTTATTCAGCTACTGAATGATGACATCTAGATTCAAATTCCACAGGACTGTAATTCTAAGCCTTATGATTTAGACCACGCTACCTGTCATTTGGTGATTGACTGCATCGAGCGACTGAGGGAAGAAGTGGTCCATCCTATGCTTTCACCCTGGACCCCCCCGTCTATTTTTTACCCATGGCAAAGTGATCTATGGTGGGGAAAGGGGCTGCCTGTCCCTGGGAATTTTACAGGCTCATAGAGGGCTTACTCAATGCTCAAAGCGTTCTCTAGCTGAAATTCTATGACCTGTACCATAGACAAAATGCCCAATTAGCATGAAAATGCCTTTAGAAGGAGCCTTATCAGACCTGTGTCATGAGAATCAGAACCTGCTGTGTTCCTATTGACAGAAAATAAGTTAAAAGCACAAAAAATTTTACTACTATTACTATATTGAGCTACTTACTGCTTACACAAGAAAGATGCAGTAGAGCCCAGAAGTTAAGAGCATGGCCTCTGGAGAAAGCTGCCAGTGTTTGAACCAGCCAGACATTTACTAGTTGTGTGACCTGGTGCTAGTTACATGACCTCTCTATGCCTTGATTTCTTTATCAGTAAAATACAGATCACAACTGTACCTGCCTCATATGTTATGGCAGAGATTATACATGTAAAATGCTTAGAATAGTGCCTAGAACACAATATGCACTCAATAAATATTAGCTTTTATTGTTATTATATTATTATTATTATTATTATCATTAATTTTTCAGTATTTTGTAAAGCATTTACTCTCATGCCTGCCCCAGAAGAAGCTGTCAGTAATTGTGGGTTCTCAAAAAGTACTTGTTAAATGCATAAATGAGGCTGAAATTTTTTAAAGTTTACGAAAAGATAACATTAACTTATAAAGAATGCCTTGAAATATAATGAATAAATTAAAATTGAAAAATTAAGGCTAGGTTTTAATCTCAAAAATGAAAAAAACAATGATTGCAATATAAAAGACTAAAACCTTATAAATAGATCTATGTTTCTAAAATTCTCTAAGAAGTAGGAATCTTCTGGTAATACCCATATTATTCCATAAATAGTGTACTCAATGTATTACACTGAAATCAAAAGGCAACACATTATCTTAAAAGTGAATTAAGTGCTGCCACTGTGAAAATAGTTTGGCAATTTCTTAAAAAATTAAACATAAATTTATTAAACAATCCAATGATTCCATTCCTAGTATCTACCCAAGAGAAATGAAAATATATGTCCACACAACTGGAAAATGGATCAGCAAAATGTGGTATCATAAAATGGAGTAATACTCAGAAATAAAGAGTAAAGAACTAATGGCCGGCCGAGTGGCTCAGTTGGTTAAGAGCTCGCTCAAGAGTGCGAGCTCTGAACAGGGTCGTCAGTTCGATTCCCAGCCTGAGCTGAGCTGCCGCTGAGCTGCCAACAGGTGGCACGATGGCTCAGCTGAAAAAAAAACTAATGATACAAGTTACAACACAGATGAACCTCAAAAATGTGCTAAGTGTAGAAACCAGACGCAAGAGACCACATATCGTATGATTTAATTTATAGGAAATGTATAGAAAGTGAAAACCTTGAGAGACAGAAAGTAAATTAGTAGTTGTTTGGGGCTGGGGGTAGAAACAGGGACTGACTGCAAAAGGGCACAAAGAATCTAAAGTGTGATGGAATTGTTCCCAAATTGAACTGTGATGATAAATAACTGCACAAATCCGTAAGTTATTTAAGAAACCATTGAATTGTATTCTTAAGGTGAGTGGAATTTTATGGAATGAAAATTATACCTCAATAAACCTGTTAAAGAAAACTGAATTAAGAAAAAAGCCAAACATCACATATTAATACCTGAGGAATGTTGAGTTCCTGTAACTGGCTCTGCGTAACCTCACTGAGTTGCCGAAAGGTCATTGTAAAATCAGCTTCTGTCTTTTCCATGAGCTAATGAAATTAAATATATTTATCAAGCTCAAGTCTTCAAAAACATGCTGAATAGTAATTCAAATGTTAATCAATAAAAAGATAAAATGATAAACTCACATGTAAGAGAAATGCAATTAAATCATCATCGCCCTTCCTTTCTCCAAGTAATCCCAATTTAGCTTTGAACAATTCTGTAAATCTACAAGGTGAAATGTCAATTTAACTTGTTATTAAAATTCTTACTATTCTAAGAATTGTCCTCAAACCAACCAGAATGTTTTAATATTTATATTCAGAAAGGACAAACCTTGTGTAATAAAGAACAGGATACCCCTCAAGAATCTGAGCAGCACTATGGGGAGAAAACAGGAGGGGCAGTTAAGCACTGATTTAAAATTGACATTCTTACCTTACAGTTTACAGGAACAAAGTGAACCTTCATATTTTAAATAACATTAGATTGTATGTTACTGATTCTGCTTTAGTGATTAATTATGTATCATATCTTAGAGACAACTATCAATATAAATTTACTGTCTCAAAGATCCGGGTACAGTACAGATCAAATCATGTCCTGAACTATTACTATATATAATTAGCTTACAGGATAAATGTTTATATGTTTCTATAATACTAAAGAGTTATAGGGCCGGCCGAGTGGCACGATGGTGAAGAACTGGCTTGGGATGCCAGAGGGCCC